TGTGTGTGTGTGTATATATGTATGTATATACGCACATATACATATAGATGTGTGTGTGTATATATGTATACATATATACATATACATACATATGTGTATATATATGTAAAACTATACCTAAAACTGTATATATAACCATGTATAAAAGTATTTGTATAACATAGTAATTCTGTATAACATTTGAATTTTTAAATGATAACTTTGTTTTCAAAGTGAAAGAATAAAATAGTATAGTTATATATAGTTATGTACTATATGTTATATATTATTTCATATATAATTATATAAATCATATATATAGTTATATGCTATATAGCATGTATATAGAATTTCATATGTAGTATTGCTACTTGAACATTAACCTGTATTTCTTGTCTGATCAGCAGTCACCCTTATAAGAAACATATATTTAAATAAGGTTGGTTGAAAATTTAGAGCAATTCATTTTTTTACCTCTTACATTATATTTTGATTGTTAACATTGTACTCTATGATATAATCTAATCATATGACTGGTGCTCCTTTCTTGTTCCATTTTTATAGACAGATTTCCTTCTGATGGCATAGGGTAAATATTGACAAGACCTTCTGAGTTACTAATAAACGTGTAGATTGGAAGGGTAATTAATGCACAAACTATGACCTGATCTATTTAGACAGCCCAAGAATTCTAGTTTAATTAAGTATTAATCCCAATTCCATCTGTATGTGGAGAATAATAAACAATCCCACTGACATTTATTGCCATTTATCACACATAGAGCAGATGAGATAAAAGCGATTTTCGTTGTGCCACAAGGGATGTTTCTCCTTACTATTTTTTTACCCTCTAATATTTTCCACACCATTAACTTAGCGAAGAACTTAAATATTTGTGAGTTCTTTCTATGCTTCACTGATTTGTTTTCAGGGTATGTCAAATGGCATATTTCCTGATGTGGCTTATAAATGCTTTCTGATGTTATATTTTTGCAGTATTTTATTTCTTTCAAGGATCTCATTGCAACTCTTCTCCTAGGACAATCGTTGTAGCATGTAGTTGTTCATGGTTTTTGTTCGTGTATATGAAAATTTTAAGTACTTTCCGCTTTTGGAGATTATCTGAGGATTTCTCCCTTTTTTAGAGAGAAGACTAAATTTTGATGTAATTGTATATGGGTTTGATCACTGCTAGATTTTATTGGTGGTGGAGTTCTGAGATAAGCTTATCTGTGAAGCACCACTTTGAAACAAAACTTGGGCATCTATCTTAGCAGTGTTTGGAGTTCTAATTGGTTGAGTAAACTCATTTGTAGTGCAATTAAACCACTGTATAATAGATGAGGTATATCACACGTTGGGGACTGGTTGGGAATATACAAGAAGTTAAACAAGCTGTGAATCAGTAAGCACCCAGGATGCAGGCCAAGTCATTAATGGGCTCACAAGCTGCCTGTGAGAGCCTCTGCCGAGCAGCCAAAACTTTTTTTTCACCCTCTTTTGCTCTTCTCAGGTCTAATCTCTCATTAAATTTCTGACAGATTTCCTCTATGTTGTAATTATTCTTAGTATGAAATGTAAATGGAGCTGACACCATTGGTTCATCCCATCTAGATGGTGATTGCAGTCTAATGTGAACTGGTGGAATAAATGGGTCTCTGTGTGGGAGGATCAGTGGGCTCACAGAGGGTTTCCTAGATATCCATGTAGCAGAGTCTACCACTCATGTTAGTGGCTCAGAGATACACCAATTCCATGACCTCAAAAAGTATTGGTGCTGAGAACTACCCCTCTCAGTAGGAAGGGCTTCTTACCTGCTGTGCTAAAAACCTATGAGGGTTTGCTCAGTATTATACTTGGTGATAGTTCATGTTATAAAACCAGTGCTTGATGAACATCTGATTTCTTTCTTTAAAATGTTTCTTTTCCCTGACTAAAAGTTAAACCTCCCTTTCTGCGAACTTAGCATTTTGTAGAAAGCTGATGCCCATGTGCTAGGCACAGTCCTGGTTTCATTATGTGTGTTCTCTTCTCGTAAGAGCTCTTCTTGGTAGTTGTGGCTGGTAGTGAGAATTGGTATTATTTCTCCTTACATGTGGAGAAGAAGAGGTTCAGAGACATGCACCCAGATATTGTGATTTCGTGCAGACTGCTCTTCTTCCTATAAGGATTCTTTCATTAAAATGTTTTGCCATCTTAATTGGGGTAGAGCAGTCCTACTTCTTCCATTGATCACTTTTATTTGAATTTTTAAATGATAACATGTTTTCAATGTGAAAGAATAAAATTGACTGAAAAGTGTTAAAAGCAAACCAACTTGAGAGGTACAGTGTTTCGCTCCCATTTTGCTTTTCTCTCTAACCTTGATGCACATTATTCTCTTCTAAGCTTCAAGGGACCAGGGACATTTGCTGGAGGGATCCATGGGCACAGGCTGGCCTATATCCCTCTTTGCACTCACTCTCCCTGTATCCTTTCCCCTCAGCTTTCACTGACACAGGCATCCTCATGCCCCCTGTAGTTTCACTAGCACAGATTCATGTACTGGGCTCTCAGATTTGCACATAATTTTATACACGTTAGGTGTTCCCACTCCTGATAGGACTGATTCATTCTGCTCTATTTACTGTCTGCTTCTGATTCCATTTCCCCCACACCACAGTTCTACAGGGGTGGAGAGAAACCTGGCTCAGGGAGAACAAGGGTCTCTAGTTTCTCTCCTCCGTGTCACCTCCCACCCTTGGGTTTTCTTATTCACATGAAGGCTAGTATAAGAAGAAAGGCTAGGTATCAGCAGTTGGCGAAATGGTTGTGTTGCTGGACTCCCATGTAGTCAACCATGGTTCAAGTCCCAGACCCAGGGGCTTAAACTCATGCCAGGTGTGTGTGCGTGCATGCCCAAATCCCCAGGAGGAGAAGGGATTGTGGCGTGGCCATCCCCTCTGGGGGGTGATTTCTCGCTT